GCACACGCCCCGCCCTCCTGGAGATCCCCAACAAGGAGAGATTGGGAAGCGCCCCCCTCCCGCCACTTCCCCCCCCCCCTCTCGACAGAGAAAAAAACACACCCCTCCTGCCACTTTCCCCCCCCCCCCCCCTCCCCTCTTCCCCCCTCTTCCCCCCTCTCACCCTCCCGCCGTGCTGCGTCTCTCTCTCTCACCCTCACTGTCGTCCCATGCGAAGCTGCTTGTGTCCCGCCAACCTGCCTGGTGCACCCGACCACCACCCCTACGAACCGTCGCATCTCCACCATATCTCCCCAGATGTCCCCAGATCTCCCCAGATCTCTCTCCATAGGAGCACCCCTACGACCCGTCGCATGTCCGAGACATGTCCGAGACATGTCCGAGACATGTCCATAGGAGCACCCCTACGACCCGTCGCAAGACGCCATCCACAGGCGCGAGGTGTCGCCGAGATGTCGCCGAGATGTCGCCGAGATGTCGCCGAGATGTCGCCGAGATGTGCCGAGATGTCGCCGAGATGTGCCGAGATGTGCCGAGATGTCGCCGAGATGTCGCCGAGACCTCAAGCAAGAGAGATGCCATTCCCCCCCTCCCACCCCCCCCCCCACCACACATCCCTCCTCTCCCCTCGCGCCTCTCCGCAGGCGCACCAAGCTGCTGCTCGGCATCCGCGACTAGCCTCCCCTCGCCCTTGCCTCCCCTCGCCCTTGCCGCCGCGCCCTCACCCCGCCGGGCTGGTGAGGCGGGGGGGGGGGGGGGGGGGGGGGGAGGGGAGAGCGGAGACGAGCGGAGAGCAGGGTGGAGCGACGCCGTGTGTCGGCGAGGGCGGGCGGAGGGCGGCCGATGGCGCCGCTCTGCCGCGCCGCATCGCGGGTGCCAGCAACCCCGCCGCCGAGGCGCGGCTCTCGAGCCCTCCGCGCCTCCTCCCCGTTTCCGTGGTTAATAGTTGCACGGCCGCGATCGTTTCGCCTTTCGGCTCGCGTACAGTACTGTGGACTCTTGCGCTCGTTTTCTAAATAAAATGAGGACGGGTGCCCCTCCCACCAAAGAGCCGGAACCCAGGCAAATTGTGAGTGCAATGATGCACGGCGTTAGTTCGGCCGGAGGACGCGAGCTTAGCAGCGGCGCAGGATCCCCGAGCTGCTCTGACGCGGCCGTGCTAGCGGCTGAGCGAGGCGAGGAGGAGGCGGTGCTGGAATGGCTCGACGGCGGCGGGCGGGCCGACGCAACGTGCGAGAGAGGCGGCATGAGCGGCATCACGCTGCTGATGATCGCCGCCAGCAACGGCCACGAGCGGGTGGTCGAGTTGCTGCTGCGGCACGGCGCGGAGATCAACCTGCAGAGCAGCAAAGGCTTCACCGCGCTGATACTCGCCGCCTTCTTCAACCACCCCGCCGTCGTGCGGCGCTTGCTTCGGGCGGGCGCAGACACGGCGGCGCGTGCTGAGAACGGGAAGACAGCGCTGCAGCTGGCCAAGGAGAAGGGCCACGCCGAGTGCGTCGAGGCCTTCCGGCAGCACGTCAAGGAGTCGGTCGTGGCGGGACGGCCCACGGCGACGGCAGCCGGCGGCGAAGGTGCAGGTGGCGCTTCGTCCGGCGGCGCTTCCTCGGCTGGATCGAGAGTCGCGAAGACGCTATCTCCAGCGGTGGCGGCGGAGCAGGCGTCGAGCGGTGTTGCGGCAGTCTCCGATGCGGTCGCGGCAGCGGCGGAGCGAGGCGAGGAGGAGGCGGTGCTGGCGTGGCTCGACAGTGGCGGGCGGGCCGACGCGACGTACGAGCAAGGCGGCGTGAGCGGCCTCACGCTGCTGATGACCGCCGCCCGCCACGGCCACGAGCGGGTGGTCGAGCTGCTGCTGCGGCACGGCGCGGAGATCAACCTGCAGAGCAGCAAAGGCTGGACCGCGCTGATACTCGCCGCCGACCACGGCGACGAGCGGGTGGTCGAGTTGCTGCTGCGGCACGGCGCTGGGGTCAACCTGCAGAGCAGCAAAGGCTTCACCGCGCTGATGCACGCCGCCAGCAACGGCCACGAGCGGGTGGTCGAGCTGCTGCTGCGGCGCGGCGCGGAGGTCAACCTGCAGAGCAGCACAGGCTGGACCGCGCTGATGGATGCCGTCCTCTTCAACCGCCCCGCCGTCGTGCGGCGCTTGCTGCGGGCGGGCGCAGACGCGGCGCGCACTGTTGACGGCATGACGGCGCTGCAGAGGGCCAAGGAGATGGGCAGCACCGAGTGCGTGTGCGCCCTCGAGGAGCACTCGTCGGCCGCAGCAGAGGCGGAGGGGGAGGCGGCGGTCGCAGAATCAGCCGAACAGGCCGCGGCGGCCGCAGGCGAGGTGGCAGCGGCAGCGGAGGCGGTGGAGGCGCGCGATGCTGCCGAGGCGGCGCTGCGCGAGGCGGTTGAGGCGTGCGGCCGAGGCGACGCTGATCTCGAGGCGCTCAGGGGGGCGATCAACGCGAACACCGAAGGCGCCGACGGCTCGGAGGCGCTGCGGGCGGCGCGGCGGCTGCGCGACGAGCTGGCGGAGCGAAAGACCCGCGAGGCCAGGGCGCTGAAGCGGCAGCGGCAGAAGGAGGAGAAAGCTGCGGCGAGGCAGGCGGAGGCGGCAGCGCGGGCGGTGGAGCAGGCAGCGGAGCAGGCGGCGGCAGCGCGGGCCGCAGAGGAGGCGCGAGTGGCGGAGGAAGCGGATCGGGTGGTAGCAGAGGCTGCGGCGGCGCGGGCGGCGGAGGAGGCGGCAGCGGCATCGCGCGCAAGGGAGGAGGCGGCAAGGGAGCGGGAGGAGGCGAGGGAGAGGGCGGCAGCGGAGGCAGCAGCGGAGGTGGAGGCGATGGCGGAGGCGGCGGCTGTGGAGGCGGCAGTGGCGGCCGTGGCGGCGGCGGAGGCTCAAGAGGCGGCAGCAGTGGAGGCGGCAGCGGAGGCGGCGGCAGCGGCGGCAGCGGAGGCGGCGGCAGCGGCGGCAGCGGAGGCGGCGGCAGCGGCGGCAGCGGAGGCGGCGTCGAGTGTCGCCGCCCTCGCCGCCGCCGCCGCGCCGCCCGCCGCCGTCCCTCTCGACGAGCTCATCGCGGCGACCGACGGCTTTGCCGAGGCACGCAAGGTGGGCGAGGGAGGCTTCGGGCGCGTCTACCGCTGCGACGCGCTGCCGTCGCTCCTGCGCGTCGCCTGCGGGTTCGCCGTCAAGACGGCCCTGGTCGGTGTCGGCGCCCAAGGCCTCGCCGAGCTGCAGAGCGAGGTGCGCACGCTCAGCGCGGCATGCCACCGGTCCCTCCTCCCCCTCCTCGGCGTCTGCTTGGCGCCGGCGAGAGCGTGCCTCGTCTACCCCCTCTGCCGCGGCGGCAGCCTCGAGGACCGCCTCTACCGCGCTCCAGCCGCGCTGCAGCGGCTCCGCATGCTCGGCTTCGAGACGCCGCTTCCGCCGCTCTCCGCCGCCGCACGGCTCCGCGTGCTGCGCGACGCAGCGAGCGCGCTGCACTACCTGCACACGCTCTCGCCCATGATCCTGCACCGCGACGTCTCGGCGGGCAACATCCTGCTCGACGAGCGCGGCAACGGCTACCTCGCCGACGTGGGCCTCGCGCGCGCGGCAGAGGCGACGGCCGGCGGCAACCAGCGGGTGTCGCACCTGTCGACGCAGCGCCTCTTCGGCAAGCTAGGGTACATGGACCCGATCATATCGCAGAGCGGGCAGGCTTCGCAGCTGACCGACGGCTACGCGCTCGGCATCACGCTGCTCGTCTCCCTGACCGGCCGCGGCGCCGTCGGCCTCCTCGACGAGTGCGACGATGCGCTGGAGGAGCCCGACACGGCGGAGAGCATCGCGGCGGCCGACGCGGGCTGGTCGGCGGCGCAGGCCGAGGAGCTGGTGCGGCTCGTGGTCGGGCTGGCTCTCGTGAAGAAGAAGAAGCGGATGCCGCTCGCGGAGGCGCTGCCGCGGCTGGAGGCGCTCGTCGAAGCGGCGGGAGAGGTGGAGGAGACGGCTGGGGCCGAGGAGCGCCAGTGTGACCTCTGCTACGACGCGCCGCGCTCGGTCCGTTTCGCGTGCGGCCACGCGCTGTACTGCGAGGCGTGTGCGCCGCGCGTGCTGGAGCGCGACAGCAACTGCCCGGCCTGCCGCCAGCCGGCGCTGCCCATCGCCGCAACTGGGCGGCTGGTGGCAGCGCAGACGACGTTTGTTCAACAGCCGCCTTCGCGCACCGTGCCCCAGGCTCAGCCTGCAGGCGCCACGGCGGCGGTCGGTAGGCGAGGGGGGCGAGGGGGGCGAGGGGGGCGTGGACGTGGCGGGCGGGGCGGGCGGGGCGCAGGGCGCGGCGGCTCTGCTTAGTGCTCTTACACTTCATGACACACTCGCAGCTCGGCGACCCGCACGCTCAGCGCAGGGGGCGAGCTTTAGAACTTAGAAGCCAGTTTTTGTTTGCGCGAGCCGAGAAACGATCGCGCACATGCACATGCACATGTACCGTACTGAAATGACTGACTGGCATGTCTGACTGCGACGTGCGCCTGTGCGACGCTGCGAGCTCCGCTCTGCTCGCGCGCGGGCGGAAACAATCGCGGCGGTACAAACAGCACAGTTGATTCACGAACGTGCGGCGCCCATCCAAGGGAAACTGCAGCGTGTGGTGGACTTTGACTCTGGCGCGCCGGCCTCGACGTCCTCCCACCGGAGCTGGCCGCCGCTGCACGCCCGCCGGCGCCATGCGGACGGCCTCCGCATGCGGCGAGGGCTGCGCCGACGGCAGCGAGCAGCTCGAGGTGTCCAAAGGGACGCGCGCCCTCAGCTGCGAGACGACGGCCCACTCGACGCGGAAAGCGCACCACTGCGCGCGCCGCAGCAGCTCGACGCAGCCGAGGAGGAGCACGACGTGCTGCTGCAGGATGCGCTGGTCGGGCGAGATGTAGACCGCCCAGCCCGCGCGCGCACTTGTGTTTGCGAGCGCGCCGACCTGGAACCAGCGGCGCGGGAAGAAGCGGCACCGCCGTCGCCTCCGCCTCGTCGCTCCTCAGATACAGTCGTAGGACGGGGTCGCGAGCAATTTCGTTCCTCCCAATCTCTTCGTATCCCTCCCTTCCTCCTCCCTTTGTCCACATCTCCTGTACCGCCCCTCCGATCTCCTCCTCCATCGCGACGTTGTCGAGTACCGCTTGCGGCGCGCGCCTCGCCTCCACTCTCCGCCACCCACTAGGTCGTCTATCTCTTGCCCATGTCCGAGGGAGCGTGTCCGGTTCGTCCGGGGAGGGGGTCCTGGTCCCCACACCCTGCATGCTGCAATCGCGCGGGCCCGGGGCTATTGGAAAGATCGAGATCTAAGCAGTCTAAACAGTTTAAATTGTCAGACGATTATGACCGTTAAACCGGCCCGGGAAGCACAATTCATTCGTGTACTATAGTTTGTAGGCCGCCTGCCGTCCGTATCAGCGGTCAAGCGATCAAAAAGCGAGCGCCTACCGCGTACCGCTACCCAAGCGCTCCAGCGATCCGCAGCAGCTGGACCACAGCCCAGTGCTTCTGGGCCTTCGCTGCCTGCAGCGGGGTGCCCCCGCCCTCACTGACGCGATCCACCTGCGCGCCGGCGACCACGAGCCGGCGCGCGACATCCACCCTGCCGTAGAGCGATGCGTAGAAGAGCGGCGTCAAACCGCGCGCGCGCTCTTCCACGTCGGCGCCCTCGCGCAGCAAGAAGCGAACGACCAGCTCGTGCCCGAGGCTGGCCGCGATGCAGAGTGGAGCCAGGCCGCCTTCGACCTCCTGTGCCCGCCGCAGCGCCGGCAGCGCGGCCTCGTGGTCGCCGAGCGCGAGCAGCGCCGCCCCCTCAGAGTACTGCGGCTTCACCTTCGGAAAGGCCTCGATGGCCGAGAGCGCGACGCGGAAGCTCGCGAGCGCCTCGAGGAGCATGGCGCGCGTCGACTCCTCCTCCTCGTCGTCCGCCTGCTGGCTTGGCGAGCGTCGCAGCGGGAGGATGGACTCACGCAGCATGGCTCGCTCGAGCAACGCCGTCCCACGCTCCACGTGGCCCGTTGCCTCTTTCGTGGTGACCCGCCCGTAGTCGTCCGCGAGGGAGAGAGGCACTATGTGAGGCAGCCCCGCGGCGCGCCTCGCCTCCAAGTAGTCGTTGAGATAGTCGAACGACCTGAGGGCGCCCTGTGCGGCTGCTTCCTTAGACGCTCGGCAGAAGCGGTTGTTCGGCGTGCGCCAGTCGTACTGACGAATCCACTGCGACACCGCAACCTTGGTGCCGCGCTGGACGACGCTTCCCTCGTGGTGCGTGAGAAGCTCAGGCAGCGACACGTTCGCGTCCATGAGATTGGCGAAGAGAACCGCGCGCCCCAAGCGAGCCTCCACCGTGTAGTTGATGTCCTTGAAGGTGGTGCCGCCGCCCTCCTCGGGCTCGAGCGTGTACATGACGAGCGTGGCTGTGCGCATCCCCTCGGGCGTGTCGATCCGGCCCACCTGGTCGTGGTGCGCCGTGAACTCCATCCCAACCTCATACCGCTGGACGTGCATCTTCTCGAGGTTCGGCATCGGCGTCATGGTCAGCCCGGAGATCCGCCGCTTCACCTGCTGCACAACCGGGAGCTGCTCCAGAACGTCGACGTGGTGGTCGCACGAGAGCGATTTGGGCTGACACTTCTCGGGCTGGCCCGGATTCATCGTGGTCTGCCAGTGGTCGGAGCACTCTGCGTTGAACGCCTCCGCCTCTGCCGGAGAGACAAAGTTCTCAAGCACCAGCACCCACGGATCCCTCGAGACAACATGCGGCGCGAACTGTGGGTAGTTCTGAACGATGCGCTCAAACATGCGGCCGATGCCTCCCACCTCCACGGCCGCCGTTTGGTTCGGCCGCGAGCACGTGCAGGCGCTGCACGAGGCAGCGCACTCGGTGAGCATGAACCCCGCATTCTCCTCGCACTCGCCCTCGCTTGCCCAGGCACGGCACTGATCTCCACCCGCTCTGTCTTCGCAGTTGTCGGCGACATACGTGCGCGGATCACCATCGGTGAGGAGGGCGCTCGCAAGCGAAAGCAGCACGAAGCCCATGAGTGGTCCCCCTGTGACTGCTGTGAACGCCTCTGCCAGGGGCCCCTCCACTCGCCTGCACCTGCTCGAACCCTGAGCACTGTGCGGCGTTGCACGCTCGAGGTCGTGCATGATGTAGTAATCATTGTCTTGAGTAATGCGCTTCTCTCGACCGAGAGCGCTAGCCTCTACCCCTTCGGTCCGTCGAATCTCGGCGCGGCAGATGCGACGCCGAGACTGACGAAACCTCCCTGTGGTGGGCTGCTGAGCCTCCCCCACACACGAGAACACCACTGGGACACCCATGACACACTAGAACAGGTATGCCACGAGGCGGGGTGAGACTAGACGTCTCGGACGAGACTCGTCACTCGACGGAAACCTAAATCGTGAACATCGGGTTGCTGCGCGGCGGGTCAACCCCATTATGCGCAGTCATCCAGATGTCAACTGCACCTCAGACAGTCGCCGGCGTGGGCGGGAGGGGCGACTGTATCTGAAGGCGCGGTAGCGGTAGACGGGCAAGCCACAGCTGGCAAGATGCCGATCGCCATTGACCTTGCTCGAGCCGCGGCGAGCCCTGAAAGTGGAGCGTGTCAGGATCGATTGCTCGGCTGTGAACTGACCTCGCTGTGAATGTGACCGCCGTCACAGACACTATTGTCCATGAATGGTAGACTGAGAGTAGAGTAGAATCGGGTCGAGCGACCGGCCCAGTCGACCGTCCCCTCCCCTCAGCACGGCGGTGTGGAGGACGACAGACAAGCGCTGCATCTGCAGCCCGTGCCAGTTCTTGGTGGTCCATGTGACCTCATCGAGGTGCTGAGCGTGCGAAAGTTTGTTACTCAGCTGGTCCGCCGCCTGCCGAAGAATTTTGCGGACGCCGTCCCCGAAGCCGCCGAACGTCTCGAAGTCGAGCAAACGCAGGTCGCAATTCTTCTCCCGCGCGAACCGGTAGTCGCCCTTCTTGTAGGGGGCCGTCACAGGTGCCCCCGCCTCCGCCTCCCCCTCACTCTCCCCCTCCTCCTCTTCCGCCGCCGCCGCCTCCGCCTCTGCATCCTCCAGGCATCTCTCCGGCGAGGGCGTCGGCCAGCTGCACGGCGCCGTCCTCCGCAGACACGCCGCAGCAGCGCTGCCAGTGGTCGTCGAGCGCGGAGGCCTGCGCCTCGTGCTGAAGGAGGCAGGCGCGGAGGGCGGTGGCGTTCACCTCGGGATCGTCGTCGCCGTCCGGCCCGGGCTCGAGGAAGGCGTCGAAGTCGTCGTCCGAGCAGTTGGCCACGTAGAAGAGGACGTGGCCGTGGCAGAGGCGCCGCCTCGACGGGTCCGAGCACGAGGAGCAGCAGCATGCGAGAGAGCGGCCCGCGAGCTCCCGCCGGATGCGTGCCGCGAACGCAGGGCTAGCCCGTAGCAGCTCAGCAAAATATGGTAGAATTCTTGAACGGTTAAATAAAATAAAATTCCTCCTTGGAAGCTGGATGTGCCTTGTGCGTTAGCCGTTACCGACTCGGCGACTGCAATCCAAGTGCTCCAAGTGCACTCTACATTCATTTGGTATCGCAACGTTATTTGTGCCCGACGGAACACGTGTTGCGTCTCATCGAGGTCCCCTCATGGCTTCCTTACTCTACCATCCGGCCACGCGCGCGTTGTGCACCCCTTCGCGTCACGGTGCGGGCAGGCGGAACTTGCCTCGCGGCGGCGCCTCGGGGCGGTACCTGCGACACGCGGCCCAGGCTCATGACTGGCGCGTGTCATCGCCCCCCCCCCCACCCCCCCGCTTCCCCCCCGTCACGCCCGCACCGCCAACCGCGTCCGCCAAGCATGTGTGCCATCTCGGCTGAGGAGGCGGGTTGGCCGCGTGTGTGCAAAGGCGGAGGGGCGGAGGGGTGGAGGGGTAGGGAGGGAAGCCTCGGAAGCAGGCGTCCGGGGGGTCCCGGAGGGGGGGAGGGG